AATTTTCTCTTCCTTATCCCCCCATTTTCTGTTACGTGTGCTCACACATATTAATGTACACGTGTATGTGAGCGTATGTATTGATTAAAAATATCTTGGCAGTCTCCGAATAATACTTACATCTTTCGAACGGTTTGCCAAGGTCCATACGGATGTGATTTTACCGGAATACTATAGTCTCGTCTGTACGGCTGGCTTTCCTCCTCGGTCACAGTTTCCGTCTTCATTGTATCTTCATCATCGGCTGCTACTCGCGGCGGTGGTTCACTACGTGTCTTCCTCAATTCCTTCAACTTCTCTCTCTCGGCATTGGCCCGTTTCTCCTCGAGACTGTTCGCGTTCGCAATCGCTTCTTCCCTGTCCAATTGTTTTAACAATTCCTCCTGAAGCGCTTGTTCCTTTGCTTCTTCTTCTTGCTCCGCGAACGTCATGTATCCCTCTTCCGGTGGCTCCCAGACGGATTCTATTGCGCGAAATGAACAGAGAAGTATATTCAAAAGATGGGTAGAAAGGAAGGAAATTTGTTCAAAATTAATATACACATTAATAGGTACATATTCACCATTGGTTTCGATGTGCCAATAATATGTGTATCCCTCGGTACTGAGAGCTTCGTACCAAAGTTTCCGAACAGGTTTCACAGCGCGCTCGTCTTCCGTAATTCTCTTCCCCTTTCCCTTCCCTTTTCCTGTTTTGCTTTTCCCTTGATTTTTGTTGTCGCCCCTCTGTTGTGATTTTGATTGTTGCGACGCCGTGTGCCTCGCCACAGTTGGATCACACGGATCGACCTCGTGAGGGAACTGAAACGTTCACAGTGTGTTCGTCGTTGCAGTTGTCGAAAGCTTTCACGAGTGGGCACACTAACGAGCTCGTTCAAAAGCTAGTACGATCGATTGGTATTTGTGAATTCCCACCTGTTGATTATCACCTTTAAGCTTAAGCTGCGTTGTAGTGGCTGTTGTTCCTACACGATTGAAACTCGGCGACACCTGTAACGTATGCATTCTCTTCTTTCTTTCTTCTTTCGTTGAAAAAGAATTAGCGTGAAATTGAGATCTCGTTGATCGAAGGATTATCGCCAGTGTACAGTGACTCTTATTAATATTCGGACACTGCGATGTTTCGAACATTATTTCCTTACACATTTGCCAGAAACACATTTATATTAATAATATTTAATTATATATTTCCTAATAGTTATATATTAACATATTATTAATTAGTTGTTCCTTAATATGCAAGATTATTCTGATTGACAGAAACATAAATTGTCACATATACTATTTATTTATATAATTCTTTGCATAAGAAGCAGCAAATCAAATTATTGTGAAATTTAAATTACCAAAAATATTCCAATAGTGAGAAAATGTATTTTGTATATGCATGTATAACGTATCAGACCTGAAATACATAAAATGAATATAAATCTAATCAATATATAATTTGCTAATATATATATATATATATATATAT